AAGCACCACCAGGAGTACTAGCTCCATCTTTACTGTAAGGTTACCTGAACAGAATCTTGCAAGACTGAAAGTATTTCTCCCATCCCTCACTTATACTCTCCTAAAAACTAGGGAGGGTCCTTTCTAAGATGCTTCCCCCACCCCCATCCCTCCTTTGGACTCACATTTCATTGATCTGACTGTTGTCTAGGCTGCAGATCTTCCTTCTGTCTCCCAAGGTCATTCCCCATACCATTCCCCTCCTTGACTGCTGCCTTAAAATGATTATTTCCAAACAAGATTCTTGCAGAGTCTTCTTTAGCAAGATTTATGGAGATGAATCCCAGGAATTCCAGGACTGAGCAATTTCCCATTTAGAACCTGTAGGCCCCATAGTGCATTAGGGCAGGGACTTTTTAATTCTCTTCCTTTGATCCAGCAAAGAGGCAGGTCTCCTCACTGATAAGGGGAAAGCTTGCCGCAGACTGTCTTACAGCAGTCTTCTGAATCTTTATCTGCCTGGAAATTAACTCTTGCAACAGTAGTAAGTCCAACCAGGCTCGAAGATCTTGGAATGCTATTTGTTCAGGGTGGAGCGAGGAGAATTGAGATGCAGAAATAAATGGCATACCCTCAGAATGGGCTTGGTTGGCATCTCTTTGCCTAGGAGCAGGCCACCTGAGTGTCACTGCTTTGTATCGTTCTGCAGGGCCTAGATGTGTTCAATTTGCTACGCAGCCTGCCTTCACGGGGGGTAAAGCTCGAGATCGCCGTGAATAGCCCTCAGTCGTCCGAGGATGACACAGATGAATTGGTCCGTCACGGTAAGGTGTCTACAAAGGATACGGAGGTTCTTTCTTCCCCATGGTGGCTATTTGCAAGAAATCCTCTTGATCTTCCTTTTAAGCTGTGAAAGTCCCCACACTTACGACCGCAGGTTTCACAAGTTCATTTCCTCCTCCGTGGAGGAAGAGCTTGTCCATCTTTGGATCAGATTTCTTGGAAAGAATGATGTGGAATTGTAATATTATGATGGAGGAAGAGGGAAATGAACCTGATAGGCATAAAAAATAGGAGCTTTGTCATTTCTCATTTGAAATTATTAGCTGCCCAGCTCCGATGATCTCTGGGCGGCGTACCAAACTAGAGCAAACATAAAAACAGAGCTTGGTTGAATGGTGTCCTTAATAGAATCTAAGCCCCTATTTTATACATTTCAATTTTTATTTATTCATTATAGTTTGGCTCAGAAGTAAAATGACAGAGACTCTCTCAGCTCCAGCTTTTGCTGCTGGGGCACTGATCCTACAAACAAACGTGTGTGTGTGCGGACGCGCATGTGCCTCTATCTGTATCTCCGTTGCAAATTTCTCCTCCACTAGGAAGTTTCTAGTTAGCCTTGGTAAAACTGTGGTCAGTGGCTCAACCTCCTTGTTCTAACATGGGGGGAACAATGCTACATCCATAATCATTGCAGAACGATTGATTGATTGATGAATTATACATTGCTTCAGTCGCAGTGACTCTAGGAAGATACAAAAGCAACAGCTGCAGCCCATGCAATATAACCAAACATCTATAATAATCTTACGCAATAAAAGAAAACCAATATATAATTCTGGTTTAAAAAATTGCAAATCACGTATCATTCCTGGCACGAGAAGTCTAGAAGACTCAGTCCCAAAAGCTGTTTGAAACAGGCGAGTTCTAGAAGGCCATCAGAGGGATAGTGGAGAAGTGTTTGACAGCGATCGATACGAATAAAAACACCCCGTAAAATTGCCGGGAAAGTGGAAGAAGATCTGGGGCGTTTGGTGGTGCAAGCGGTAAGGACAGATTTGTCTTACGTCTTGCTCCCCAGGTGCAGATGTGCGGTATGTAAATATGACCCAGCTGACAGGCGGGATCGTGCACACCAAATTATGGGTGGTGGATCGGAAGCACATCTACATCGGGAGTGCCAACATGGACTGGCGTTCGCTCACTAAGGTACCTCCGTTGGACAGGGTGGTGCAGGTCAACAGGGGAAGCCTCTCTTCCGTAAGGAGGTAAGGCGATCGGTGAGGAGGCAGGTCTCTTCGATGATAACGGGGAACCGTACTGCTGGCTGGATCTGCTGGATCTGGATCCCTCGTGGGGAATCAACCCTTACAGCTGGGGTCATTCTGGAGGTGTCAGTCTCTGAGGAAGGGTCGGTAAAGCTGGAGGGTCTCCCCTAGGATGCTAACCTGATTCTTTTGATCCTAGGTGAAGGAGCTGGGAGTTGTGTTGTACAATTGCAGCTGTCTGGCGAAGGATCTGCACAGGATCTTCGCTATGTACCAAGCGTTGGGCAAGGAGGGGGCCTCCATCCCTACCACGTGGCCCAGAAAATTTGCCGCCGAGTCCAGCCTGGAGGAGCCTCGGAAGCTGCAACTCAACGGGGTAGAGGCACGGGTCTACATTTCTGTAAGTGCATTTTGGTTAAAGTGGTTTAGGACAGGGCCTCTCCAACTCGGGGATCCGACTCCTAGACATCCCCAGCCTGCCTAGCCTGGAGGAGAATGATAGGAGTTGGGAGCCCCACATCTGGAGGGGCAGGCTGGAGACAAGATCAGGAAGGCAGGAATATAACGAGTTGGCTATTCCAACTTGATATCTTTGCCACCTCCTCAGTCTGCATGCCCCAGCATTTTTTGACATAGTCTAGCAACCACTTTTGGGCACAGACCAGCAGCCGATCGCGAACTACAGGCCACTACCCTCAAAATAACCTAAGTTTCTAGTCCTCATGGCTCAGGTAGCTTTCATCCGATTTAGAATGCTGGGAATTGGATCTGAGATTTTCTGCCTAGGGGCAAGTGTGGGTCAAATAAGCTGTGATCCCCTCTTAGGTTTAGCGCTTGAGGTGTGTCCAATCACTTTTCTCTTTTGGGTGTTTTTCAAATGAGGTGGACTTTAACTGCTCTGGTGGCCCCTAAAACTCAGGCCCCTGAGTTGGTGGGGAGCTGGAAAGAACCTAGACCCTGAATTGGACAGAGAAACACCCAAAACCTTTGCAAAGTGGCTTTTTCGCCCCCCACTCCCCCTACGAATCCCAAGTAAATCAGGCAAAGCGAAAAGCATTTATTAAGGGGGCGGTCGAGTCTTTATGTAGGATACCAAAACAAATGATACGCACATTTGACCGATGTGATGCGTCAGAAAGCCATAAAAGACATTCATGTGCGATAAAGGCTTTGTTTTGTTAGAGGCAAGAAAAGACAGACACCTTTAAAATATGTTGCATCTCCTCCTTTTCCACCCGGCTTTGCTCCTTTAACATTTGCAACTTCCAGCGAGGATTTCAGAATCTGTAGTTTGGTTGCTGAAAAGGCTAGTTTTTGTACATCAAAGGACATGGTTCTGCCTCCAAGGAAAAACACGGTTTCCTGATCTTGAAAAGGAGGCATGGATGGGGATTATTAAAGGGCTAATAATAAAGCCTGCCATTTTACGTAAAATATCTAAAACCACTTTCCTCCGGCTGGGGTTTTTCAAATGTGGTCGGTTGGGTACACCCCAAATCTCCCTGGCCTGGATCTCCCAAGATCACCTACGTGGAGCAGGTGATGTAGCAGGTAGAAATGCGTGGTCTGTTTTTATACTTTGCAACATTCTCATTTTTGCACGCAGAGCTCCCCCCCGGTGCTGTGCTCCGCCGGCCGTACGTCTGACCTCACCGCCATTCTGAGCACCATCGAAGACGCAGAGAAATTCATCTATATTTCTGTGATGGATTACGAACCACAGTGTTTATTCTGCAAAACTGAAAGGTGAGGTCAGCGCGGCCCGTTTTTTATTGTTTTTGCAAATGTACGTGGCTGCCCGTCTCATGTAACGTGGCTCTGGGCGGCGAACGAACACGGCAACGATTACAGCAAGGCGACCCATCTTAAAACACTGAAACATCAATAAAAATCGAAAACCTAAAAAGCCAAGATTACGGGAGAATAACAGTCACCTAACATCATACAGCCACCTCATAGGCTTCCCATGGAATATATATATTCTAGCCTTTCCCTACAGCTAACGTTCAAGTTGCTGTATGAAAACTGGACTTGGTGGTGCCCAACCAGCTCTTAAAATGCGCATGTGGTATAGACAAAGATGAAAATCAATCTTTATTAAGGTCATTAACCAGCAGGCAATATCACTTGCCAATATCCTAATTTATAAACCCACCCCATTTAAATCCCAGCTGAAAAACCCACCGGAAGCTTTATGAATATACGATAATACAACATGGTTTTAAGCAGAAATTATGTCAGGAGCTGCATTTCAAAAAGTGGGTAGGCCCAGCCCAAATGCCCCAAATGTGGCCTAAAAGCTATTAAAATTAAATTAATTCAGCACTTCGGATAGGATTGCTTGTTTTTCAAAATATTCCCCCTTCGGTCTCGGCATAAATTACAATTGGACTCACAGATGTGGTTTAGAGAGAGTTGTGCCTGTGGACCTGAGCAAGGATTTTCAAATTTTCAGGCTGAGGAACCCTGTTAGTTAAAAAAAAAAAAAAAGAATTTCCCAGGATCCCTGAAAGAGAGACAAAACTAGCGATAGAAAATCGGCTATGTTTGAGTGAACTTTTTTCCCCCTTAATCTCTCACGGAACCAGACCAAGTTCCACAGAACCCAGTTTCACTAGATTACACCCTCCTGGTGTCCACCCAGATGTACCTCAACAGATGTTCTCCAAAGTGATCTCAAGACACCAGAATTTGAGAGAAGGAAAGACAGGGAGAGGATCATGGATATTATAAGGGCAAGCGGCTACCTTGTGGGGCACTGTGCTCTTGGCCCCTTCCTTCTCATAATCGTGCCCTTGTCAATAAACCAGATTAAGGAATCTACTCCAGAGGAAGACTAAAACTAACTTTATTCAGATGGGCTCGAATAACAGAATCTTGCAAGTCTATGCTGTGCCTCCTTCCCCTTCTTATACTCCCGTGAATTAGGGAGGTGTCTGTCTGATCCACCTCCAGATGGTATCTGGACATTCTGGACTTAAAAACGCTTCAGCCCCATTTGCCTAGATCGCGGATCCTGCGGATCTCCATCAAGGTCATCGTCCTGACTCTCTACCCCCGCTCTGCTTTTCAAGGTTCTGGCCCGTCATCGACAACGCGTTACGGACCGCAGCCTGCGACAAACGAGTGACGGTGCGTCTTCTCATCGGCTGTTGGCAACATTCGCGGCAAAACATGTTCGTCTTCCTGGAGTCCCTCATGGTCCTGAGAAGGAAGCCCCTCCATTGCCCCATCGACGTGGTGAGTCTTTTGTTTGTCTTGGATTTCGTTCCTGAGTTTTGCAAAGGTGTTGCAACTGAGAACGCAGGATAACAAATGGTGAAGGAAGGTCGATCTGGCTTTGGGAAGGAGGAAGGAATGATTGAAATGTTAAGGGGGGACTTTCAGGAAAGGTTTCATAGTCCAAATGATTGATTGATTATGCGCCATTGAGTCAGTGTCGACTCCTAGCGACCACATAGATAGATTTTCTTCAGAAGGATCTGTCCCTAACCTGGTCTTTCAGGTCCTTTTTTTTTTACTAAGAAACCACATGGATAGAAAATATAAAATGGTTGGACGAGAGGGAGATACATTTTATTCTTTGTTTTTCCTTTTCAGAAACTCTTTGTGGTGCCCACAGAAGGGGAACAAATTCCTTATACCTACGTTAACCACAACAAGTACATGGTGACTGATCGGGTGGCTTACATTGGTACGTAGCTCATGCCTGAATCTAGTTTCTCCATTTATGGCTGGTAGAAGCCGGTACTGGAAGTTAGGTGGTAGAAGCCGGTACTGGAAGTTAGGTGGTCTTATCTACAAATTATTTGTTGAGAAAACTCCAGGATTTAGACAGGAAATTTCTAAGCCTCCTTCTGTCCTTGTATGCATCTAAATTCTTGAATAACCGCCACCGTCAAGGTCAGTGTTCCTCAACCTTGGCAACTTTAAGATGTGTGGACTTCAACTCCCAGGATTCCCCAGCCAGTTGAAGTCTACACATCCTAAAGTTGCCAAGGTTGAGAAACACTGGTCTAGGTAGTGTACAGATTGGTTTAAAACACATTATATGAAATAAAACATCAGAGATATACAACATGGTATCAGGGATTGTGCTTAAAAGCATCAGTGATAATAAGAACATATACAGCACCCACACAAGAATAACCAAGAAATCCTATTAGTTAATAAACTGCAATCCAATTTACGGATTGTGGTAATGGCTGTGTGGTTTGCAGACTTTGCATCTTATGCTAAACTATAAACCATAGTTTACCAGGCCCGATTGGCTTGGTTTGCGCAACACGGCCTACATCTCATGGCTTAGTGTGATGAGGGAGCACGACCAGAATTTTACAGTTTGCATTTTACTTTGTGAAGTGAGGAGCCCCTAATGTAGGGTAAGCAGTAGGTGAGCGTGGGTGCCAATGGGCCTACCGATTCTTCTCTGATTCCTACTAAGCCCTCAACTTTTAAAAAGAAATCAAATAGAAAGCCAGTGTGTTTGAAAGCAAAGCATCAGGACCGAACACATTTCTTTGCAACAAAATCTTTGCATCTTGCAAACCTTCTTTTTGGTTGGTGGGGAGCATCCTAGTAGCTCATTTTCTTTCTATCAGGGAGTGACAGACCATGCTCAGCAGGGAGCCATTTTGTGAGTGTGCTCATCACAGATTCTCAGAAACCCCAAACAGTTTCTTAACCTTGCTTTATAGTGGGTTGCAAATGACATATAAATGGATGCTCTTTCTCTTTTGTTCTCCATCTGCAGGTACGTCCAACTGGTCTGAAGATTATTTTCTCCACACCACCGGCGTTGGGCTGATCGTCAACCAGAGCGACGTGGCACCCGAAGCCCAAAGTTACACCTTGCGTCAGCAGCTGGTGGAGGTTTTCCTTCGAGACTGGGAATCTTCATACATTCTCCCGCTCGAAAACCACTGGAAATGCATGGAGATGTGAAGAGAATGAGGGGTCTCGCTTGAAGAATCAGTCTGAAGCCCAACCTCACTCAAACCCTTGGTCATGGAAGTCTTCCTTTAAACATCCTGTGTTTAAAAGCTTTTAGTATGCTTTCAGGAAAAAATTGGGGCTGCTTGCATTGTTAATCTACTGCCTCTCTGTGTTCACAAACTCTCAGCAGAACAGGGCCAGGATAGGGACATCTGTCGCTGATAATCCTTCTGAACTCCAAGAAGCTCCAGGAGCTGAAGAACCAAGTTAGGGACAGATCATCATGGAGAAAATCTTATATATGTGGTTGCTAAGAGTCGACAATGACTTGATGGCCCTCAATCAATCCATCCATCAATCCAAGATTCGTAGTGTCCAAAATCCAGGTGGGAACCTACGGTCCTCCAGCTGCACGCTGGCCAACGGTGAGGGACACTGGAAGCCCATAGAGACCTACCTTTTGCATAGCAGCCCAAAATACCAGCGTGGAGCTGAACTCAGGTGGGGAAAGAGGGGGAAGGGGCTTGTAGATCTTTCTCAGCATGGAGGGAAGCGAGACATCTCAACTGCCCGCCTTGCGTTTTGAATGGGGAGATGTTTTACTTCTCTGGTAGACCAGAGATCTGATTCATGCCACAGCACTGAAGCAGCATTTTGATAAGATGGGGAGTGGTCTGGAAGGAAGGTGGCCCCAGGATCCATTTTTTTCTCAGGCTTGGAAGACTGGGGGGAAAATAGGACCTTTTCCTTGGGGCCTATTTTGGGGAGATTTGGCATTGGGGGGCCATTTCTGGAATGGGAATGCCCAAGGAGATCACCCTCTTTGACCCATTGGCATAATACGAGTCCAAATCTGGTATCTTTTGGGCAAACTTTTAAGTAAAATCCAAGCGTTCTTCAGTGTTGGTGTTCATGGGGGCAGAGGAAAGAACGAATTAAACATCTCAGTTCCTTTGACAGCTCTTTCAAATTTGGATGCTGGTCTGAAGACCAGTCGGTGCTATTACCAAGGTATGCAATGGCACTCTCAGTCTCTTTTCTTGCACTCCCCCTGCTTGCTTCACTGAATTTTCAATGTACAATTGCCAAAGCTTAGCCGCATTTTGAGACCAGAGATACACAACAATTGTAGTACTCCAAAGCTTTGGGGGAGGGAGAGGAAAATACTGACCACCCTGCTTTGGGGGGATTATAATCCTGCTCCCAGTGGTCGTCTTCTTCCCCTGAAAAAATATTCTTTAAATTCTCTATTTCTTTTTGGAAACTTGAAAGAGCGCTTCTGATTTACTGCTCCTGAAGTTTGTCGAGCAACTTACACAGAACAACCTTCCTACGGGTATTTTCCTTCCAGGGACACAATTGTGTGGTGCGTGTGTAAATATATACATATTTTTAGCAGTCCAGCAGTGGATTTCACTTCCTTTTGTTGCATAGCTTTGATAAAGAACCGGGACCAGTGATGAATTGATGAGCGGGGAAAACCAAAACTCCAATATCTGGGCTGCGATACCCCACCAGACCACTAGAGGGCGGCAGAGGCATCCAGTGGATTTAAGTGCGCTTTGGTGCCCTCTAGTGGCTGTCTCTGAGTCCTGCAGCCCAGAAATGATATTCTGATTATTTCTTATTGCCAAGTTCTATTGAAATCTCTTTTTGGAAACTCAGGGATTCTGTTTGAGATGGGGAATTACGTGCCTTAATCTGTATGTGCTATAAGCAATGGAAAGGACATAGCTTGGCAGAGTTTATTTTTGATAAGTCAAAGCATTTTTATAATAAATAGGTTTTAAATCTTGTTTGCCTGTGTTCTTATTGTACTCCATCTAACTTAATTCAGACATTCCATCCAGTTTGGTTGTGATTATTATTATTATTATTGCTATTTATTTCAGTCTACCAGATAGTTCTGATTGGATTTGGTACTGCATTTTGACCTATTATTATTATAATTATAATATTATACAGTATTAATAATTATTATATTATTATTTATTTTTATTTATTTATCAAATTTGTCACTGCCCATCTCATGAAATGACTCTGGGCAGTTTACAGCAAGATAAAAATTCATTAAAATACACTAATTATTAATTACTATATTAATTACTATATACCGGTGGCCTCCAAACTCTTCAGCTCATTGACCCCTTCGTGAAATTTCAGATTCTTCATCGACCCCCAAACCTTTATTAGATGAAAATAATTTAATACATACTACTTTAATAGTACTACTACCGCTATTAATAACAACAATAGTGGGTGGTCCCATCGATCTTGGGGGTCAATATTGATCACTTTGGAGAACCCTGCAATTGCTCAGCTTGAGAAACTCTGCTCTAGGCCGTTTGCAGTTACTGTATTAAAACAGCAGCCAGAACAATAATTAATATTATTAATTAGTAATAAGTAATCAATTTAATAATATTAATTAATATCAATTATTAATCGATTAAGAATATAAGTGATTATTAATATTATTATTAATATACAGAACTCTTCATATTTTTGCTATTGAAATGTCAAATTCCTAATAATTGATTAATATTAATATTTATTAATATTATTAATATTATTAATATTAATGTATATTAACATTGATATTTATTAATATTAATGTATATTAATATTGATCGATATTAATATTAATAAAGTATGATTAATTATTAAGAATCATTTGAAGCTTCAATAGCAAAAATATGAAAAGTTCTGTATCAAACAATAAGAAAACACGCACACCCACAGATAGGGGCACCTGTAGCTATACCGTCCCCCCATTTCCATTGAGGGGCCCCCGCCCTCTTTTTCAGGACCCAAAGGGTTAGGGCCCCTTTGTTTTCAATGAAAAGAAACCCCCCCAACGCGATCCGCTTCGATTGCTGCGGCGCACGCGCAGTGGGGCAAACCCAGCCCAGCCCTCCGCGGCTGTCGGGCGCCTGTTCCTTTAAGGCGCTCTGAAATCCTCGCGCGGCGCAGCCAATCAGCGGGCAGCAGCGTTGCAACATTAAGCCGAGCGGAGGCCGCCGCGTTCCATCCGGTTCGGAAGCATTCCGGCTGGGACGATGTTCTATCACGTGAGTTTAGGGGGTTGTGTGGATCCGCGTCACGCGTCGGGGCGCGGATAGGTTGGGCGTAGAGCGGGAAACGGAGGCGAATGCCCGTATGTGTGTTTACGACGAGCAACAAAGCGCTTTCTTCCGCGGGAGCACCCCCACGTTCATTTTAGCCTCGGCTTTATCGGGGCAATTCTTTTTTAGGAAAGCTCAGGCTAGAATAAACGTGTCTTGAAAATGCCGCCCCGCTCTGGGCTGCTTCTAGGCCGGCGATCGGCCCCTTCTGGATCAAAATAACGGCGTGTCTCCGTGACAGACGCTCTGGTTTGTTTCAATCCTAGTTTGTGGAATAAGCCACGATGATGGAGGGGGGCAGGAAAGATCGAGGAGCTTGACAGTGGAAGCTCCATGTGGGATGGGTTGATCCATAATGGGTTGGCTGTGGGGTTAGAATTTAATAACAGTAATAATTTATTAAATTTGTCCGTGCCCGACTCTCAATGACTCTGGGCCGCTTGCAACAATCCCAAATTGCAATTAAATCAATAAAGCCTAAGAGAGAAAGGTAAAATATGAGTATTCTTCAGCCCTGCCTACCTCGCCGGGTTGTTGTGGGCAACTTCAGAGGAGGGAGTTTCTATGTATGCTGCCTTGAACTGGAGGAGAAAACAGGGGTAGAAAGTTAAGCCTTGAAGCTGAGCCATCAGTCATGGCTTGCGGTGGCTGGTTTGGGGGCGGCCTGACTTTTGGGGGCAGGAAGCTGGTGGGGGACGTAGTCCGTACCGAACCAGGTGAAGGCCAGAGTGGGTACTGTCTGTGCACGATGGGGATTGTAACCCTGCGCCTCTGGATGCCGGAAGGGCGAAGGAACAACGCAATAGAAATGTGTAACAGTGCAAATTTCCTTCCCCAACTTCCAGTCTGTCCCTCACTGGCAGCGTGGGCTGGGTGCGAATTGGGCACCTGCCGTCTCGCCGCAGCGTTAACGCTTTCCCTCCGTGTTCTTTGCACGCAGATCTCCTTGGAGCATGAAATCCTCTTGCACCCTCGTTACTTTGGGCCCAACCTTCTCAACACAGTGAAGCAAAAGCTGTTCACGGAGGTGGAAGGAACCTGCACGGGCAAGTAAGGAGGAAACCAGGTTTCATTTCTGGCGAGGCTCGGTGGTTGGTGCCAGTGACGGGCTGCATAAAAAGAATTAAAAAACAGTTCGATCTGGATAATGCAGCTGTGCTGGGCAGGTTTTTATTCTTTTTCGGTTTATCCGGGAGGAGCAATTCCACCTTGAACCTGGTTCGTCTAGGGCAGTGTTTCTCAAATTTGGCAACTTTAAGATGGGTGGACTTCAACTCCCAGAATTCCCTAGCCAGCCATGGATTCATACTAAGTCCAGTAGATAATGTGGAGTTTCTATCCTCTATCTCACTGTTTCTCAACCTTGGGAACTTTAAGAAGTGCAGACTTCAACTCCCAGAATTCCCCGGGCAATGTGGGTGGGGGGGGGGAAATTTTGGGGATTTAAAGTCCCCCAATTTAAAAGTCCCAAGGGTTGAGAAACACTGGTCTAGGGCAAGAAGGCATAGTGTGTTTAACCCAGGTTTATTGGA